CAGAAAATAATTGTTGACAGAAAAAAATACAAGCATTTGAAAAACTAAAGAAAAGTGTAGTTACCTAAAACAATAGATAATAATGGGGCAAATCAACAGTCACCATTCTATTTAATGGTTAAAAAACTATGTCAGTTATTGGGTCAGGAACAATAAATAATGCTGCTCATCTGTACTGTTGTTTAATATTATTCTGGAAGATATAGCCCATGTGTTAAGGCAGAAATGGGAGAGATCATTATTAGAGAATAATACACAAAATTTTTTTCAAAGAAATATAAGTGTATACCTTAGAAAAAGGAGAAAAATACCCAAAACTATTATCATACAAATAATAATATTATAATAAGTTGATTAATAAAAATAAGTACACAAATTTTTCTATGACTCAACAATAACAAAACTAAAAGTGATCTTACTCATCATGGCAGTAGAATATATAAAATGTTATGTAAACTTAAAAAGACGTGAAGGATTTAAATAAAAAAACCAACTTGTACTGATTAATGTTAATATAAAGTGTTAATGAATTGAGGGGTAGTTAAAAGTAAAGGAAGAATACTGAAAATTGTCAGATATTAGAAACATGAAATAATAATAATATGGTATTCTTCTACAAGAATATCAGTGGAAGAAAATAGAAAGTACAAAGACTGATTTAAGACAATATACTTCAATATGCTAAAGATAGGATTGCAATCATTAAACATTCATTCAGCAAATAGTTTTAAACATCTATTATGTTCCAGCCATGGTGCAAGGTGCTGGAAATGCAAAACTAATGAACACAAAGCTCCTGTCTTGTGGAATGAAATATTTAGAAAATTTTTAAATGTCAAAGGATAAAGCTAAGATACATCCCAGATCTTACACTGTATGTCAAAGTAAGTGATGAATCAAATATAATGTTAAATATAAAAACATAGGAAATGAATGGAAAAAAATATAAGTAAGTAAAAAATTTTGAGTTAGATACGTAATTATAAAGGGAGGGAGATACCATTATTTTAAAACACAGGAATTGACACTATTTCTGGTACAGCCACTGTGGTAAACAGTATGGAGTTTCCTCTAAAAGTTAAAAATGAAACTGCCTTTTGATCCAACAATTCCACTTCTGGGATTATATCTGAAGAAACCCCAAACACTAATTTGAAAGAATATATTCAACTCAACGTTCATAGCAGCACTATTTACAATCACCAAGATTTGGAAGCAGCTCAAATGCCCATCAATAGATGAGCAGATAAAAAAGCTGTGGTACATTTACATAATGGAATACTACTCAGGGATTAAAAAAATAAATAAAGGCTATTTACCTTTTGCCACAGCATGAATGGACCTGGAGAATGTTATGCTAAGCGGGATAAGCCAGTCAGAGAAAGACATGTACCATATGATTTCACCAGTATGTGGAATCTAATTAACAAAATAACCTAACATACAAAATAGGAACAACAGTACAGGTACATAGGACAGACTGACAGCTGTCAGAGGGGAAGGGGATCGGAGGGCTGGCTGAAAAAGGTGAAGGGATTAAAAATAAATAAATAAATAAATAAATAAATACCACATAGACACAGACAGAGCTGATAGTGGAAAAGAGGGGTGAGGGGAGGTGGAAGGGGGCAAAGGGAGGGTAAATGGGGGATAGGGGTGGAAGGAAACTTGACTTTGGGTGGTGAGTGCATGACGCAGTGCAGATGTTTAAGAGAGTTGTATGCCTGAATCCTGTATGGTTTTATTAGCCAGTATCACCCCAATAAATTCAATAAGAATAATGTTTTGAAGATAATCTGTAAAAAAAATTGAGTAAACGGCTGCAACACATGACAGAAGATAAAAGAATAGCCCTAATAGGGAAAGAGCATTTGCAAATCAGTAAGAAGGACCAATAGCCCAAGTGTTAACAAGTGGGCAGCGACCAGAGGGGAGAGGGAAGGGAATTTAAGGGGAAAAATGGGGAGGGATTTTGAGGAACAAGTATGAAAGACACAGGGATGAGGACGGGGGGGTGGGGGTGGAAATGGGAGGGAAGTGGGGAGACAGGGCGGGGGGGGCTGGGATGGGAGAAATAGACAAAAAAATGTACTTGAAAAATAATTAAATAAAAAAATTTAAAAAAAGTAGCAATGAATTTTGAAAATACCCAAATGAAGAATTACGCTAAGAGAATGTCAACTTTAGATATATCCTAGAAATACAAGTTTAGACTGCAATAAGATTTCATTTTTCATCCGTGGGATGCTAGATGGTATCTCTCAGATATGCGAGGCCAAATAGCCTTCTAATACTGAAACTCTTTTGCTGGACAACTGTTGCAGGATATGGAAAGGAAGTTGAGTAACTTGAGAGACCTCCAGCAGTGAAGTCATAAATGAAATGGCCTTCACGTAAAAATCCCAGTTTACTGTTTATAAAATCACACACTACAAGATTGTAGAGATTGTGTAATCTAATACCCCCTTTCCAGGTATGGAGCCCAAGTTCTATTCTGTGCTGAAGGTCATAACCCTAATGTGTGTTTCAGAAGTAGCTGGAGTTTGGCTTCCTTATAGCTTTATCATTTGGAGATTGGAAGGCAGGGCCAGTCCTCATAGCAGTGATACACAGACACAGTGTTTAGTTGTTGTTCTAGGAGGGAATGGAGAACTATTTACAAAATCAAAAGGAGCAGTTTTTGTTTTATAAAAATTAGCATTAACTGCAGTTTTCCTGAAACTTTCTGTGTAGTAAAGCTCTTTATTCTTGTTTTTTTTCCCTCTAGCATTCCCCTACGTTTTATCCTAATCTATGCTTTAAGTACAATTTTTAGAATGCTGATCTAATGTTTCCCAAGTTCTTTAGCTGAAGAACAATTGAATTAAAAAAATTAAAAACTAATGTATGTGTAAATGAATAACAAAACATTGGTATTTTAATGAAGAGTTAGCCTTTTGGGGATTAATTTCAGGTCATTTATCATCTTTCAGATTAGTTTTCAATTGTTACTTTGTCAAGTATAGTCAAGGAAGATTTTGTTATTCATGTATTTAGAGGGCTGGTTAACCATACATATTTTATGAATGGGGACATGTTTAGCACCACCTAATGGCAGGCAAGTAAAAAGAAATACCCTTTCTAATTTAAAACTTATTTGCATAATTCAAATTAAGCTATAGTAAGAGTTGCTTCTATGTGTAACCTTTTACATTCCCTTATGTACTATACAGGCAGCTAGAAATCTGTGTCCAAGCAGTTGGTTTGGATGGGAATGAAGCAGAAGGGATCTTGGCAATGAAACCAAGGGCTTTTTGCTTTCTTTATGAGAGCAAGGATAAGAAAATATCTGTATAATAGAACATATTGTTCTTATATGAAGTGTCATTTTAGCTTTAGAAGCTTATGCTTTGAGACTCCATTCTCCATACTCCAGTTAATTTTCTGACACAATATACCTTGACTACTGCATTAGCATATTTAATTTGCGTTGTTTTTTTCAGCAGTTGTTGACAAATCTTTGACCAATTTGATATACTGCTCTACTAGAGCATATTATACCTCTGAATTTGTAAATAAAGAGTTCTCTCTTTCTGTTTATTGCCTTGGAATTTTCCATAGATCATGAGTCAAATGATGTGTTTTAGATCAGGGATAAGTCTTACCTTATCAGGGGTGTCCAACCCACGGCCCGCGGACCGCATGCAGCTGAACATGGCTATGAATATGGCCCGACACAAAATTGTGAATTTACTTACAGCACTATGAGATATTTTGGTGATTATGTGTCACAATGTATTTAATGTGTGGCCCAAGACAGCTCTTCTTCATCCAGTGTGGCCCAGAGACACCAACACATTGGACACCCCTGCTAGGCCAGGCCTGATCATTTGATATGGTCCCCCAGCAGGATTTGAAAACGAGGAAAGATGAAGCAGAGACGTGCATGGTTCTGGAGGCAATTGCAGTCGGCCGACCCCAGAATAAATCCCCTTCCCTATGGAGGGCCTTTGGTTTCCAGCGCAGCCCAAAAGAAGCCCTGTCTCCTTTATACATGCATCATTCTGGTGGATGATGTTACTGCTCACATCAGTGTCCAGTAGTTACTCAGTGTTAAGCTGTCGAGCTGTTATGTGATTCTCATGTATGTTCTTGAGTGCTTACTTGACTCTCACCATGTAGTTTGTCTGCAAACACACACACACAGTATGCAGTTGATCTTTCCAACTAAACTAGAACGCCTTTGAGAACAGAGATGTGCCTCTTAAACCTCCTTGCCATTGTCAAAGCAATAAGTGAAATGCCTTACACAGGGGAAGCACTCTGTATTGTATAGTGAGCAGTGGGACACCAGGTAGAATGGAGGTGGGACCAGGAAGTGACGGGGGTGGGGGGGGAGACACCTGCGTGTGTGATCAGCACCACCTGTCTTGCTTCCTCAGCTGTGGACATCACTATGAGCCAAGAGTGCATGGGTTGTGGGCAGTCCAAAAGGGTGCGAGGAGACCCTGGGTTCCTGAAGGCTGCACACCTTTCGGTCACAGAAGGGTGTTTCAGGAAGTTGTCTCTGCGGGCCACTTCATAGCAGGGCTTCCCAGTCTTAGCTCCTGGTACTGGGCTGGTTGTTTCAAGTTAAGTATTTCAGAGGCTCCCCTGTGTTTTTTTCAGTTGTCTCAGAAAACCCATTTATTTTTATGACTGATAATATTTTCAATTGGATGTTCCTGAGTGTCCAATTTTGGGTGGACACCATGTCTTTTGATGTTGATGAGTTTTGCATAAATTCACCGTTCATTATATATTGATCAGTGGGAGCATGGGCCTGAGTTTCAAAGTCCAGATCAGCATTTGTAATAGAATAGGTTTAAAACCAAATGACTGGGACCATTCCAGTACATCGCTGTGTATCATTCCCTGACTGTAGTCAGGGCATCATAAATAATAATGAAAGTAAATGTATGCTTATCAGAAAGAATCAACAAACCCCCAGCAGTGACTTGCTGACTATACTTGTCTCCCAGGGATCAAGGCCAGCTTCCGCACGAGGGTGCCTGAAGGTCTGATCGTCTTTGCCGCATCCCCGGGCGGCCAGGAGGAGTATTTCGCACTACAGTTGAAACACGGGCGGCCTTATTTTCTTTTTGATCCTCAGGTAAATGACTAAACATAGGAGTTGAGATTTTTGAGTTTCCTAGGTGCCGGGTACTGAGGTAAGCACTTACGTTTTCACATTGCATGCTCCCCAGAAACAGAGAGGTAAGTGCTATTATTGTCCCTGCTTTATGAATGAAGAAAAAGAAGCAACCGTGATGGGACCTGCCCACGGCTCAGACAGCAGAGCGGCTTTCAAACCTCATGGTCTGACTCCACACGATTGATGACCATATGATACCTTCCAATGAGGATGAAAACTTCACATTTGGGTAGATCCATTTTTATTTTACTTGAGAGCCAAATTATGCCCCTGTTATTTATTTATTCAGTTTAGAGAATGAGGAAGAGGGGGTGAAAGAGAAATGTCACTTTGTTGTTCCACTTATTTGTGCATTGACTGGTCGATTCTTCTATGTGCCCTGACCAGGGATCGAACCTGCAACCTTGACATACTGGGAAAAGACTTTAACCAACTGAGCAACCTTTCCAGCGCAAATTATATCTCTCTTGACTTTCTCTCCTTCCCTGCCTTCCTTCCTCCCTTTTTTATATATATTTTTTGTTTGTTCACCAGGAATTATGTATCTGTCAGGTACTACTGTGCTGAGTGTTGCAGACAACACTAGTTTTAGAGTTTAATAGCATCAGGCCTGCTATGAAACAATCTAAGGAGGATACAGTAAAAATATATTTAAATTATTCATGAATGTTATGAAAGGGAAGTAGGAGATGCTGCATATTATGGCAGCATAAGATGAAGGCTCTCTCTTTTCTGAGTTGTCAGTCTGCTCTGGACATGTGATCTGTCACTGAGGTGTGGAACAAAGAAGAAACGTTGTTCGGGACAAGAGCTTGTGTCTCTACACGAAGGCATGTGCTTGAGGGAGAGCAGAGAGGGGAGGATTCTGGCGGGACGTGAGGGAAGCTCTGGGAATAAAATTCCCACGCAAAGCCTGCGTGGACAAGGACACGGCGTATTCGGTGCATGGAGATGTAGCAGTCGTGTCTGTAGAACAGAAAATCAAGAGGAAGAGTGACAGGTGGGAAAGCTGGCTAGAGGGGAAGGCATTTAGATTTCTGGAAGCAAATGTGAGGATTTAGATTTTTACTGAGGGCAATGGAAGCATTGGTTCACTTTAGCTAAACCGGGATTAGTGAACATTGCACATGTAATTGAGAAATGAGTAAGACTCTTTAAAGTAATTTTTCCATTCTGTTTTCTCAGGTTTTCCACTGAAACCTGATGATCTAAGTCATAAATTATACTTGACAAATAAATTTTTTTGTTCTATGGTAAAGCTAGCATACTCTTCCCCTCTGTGTGGAAAGGATCCTAAGCCAAGGGCTTGGGTGAGAATCCCAATGTCAGATGCCCTGAAGGCCCACTCACCTTGGAGAGGAAAGCTGGGTCCGGCCAGACCATCGGTGTCTGAGCATCGTAACTGGCTCTGTGCAGGGGACCTCAGGAGGCAGGCTGCCTCCCTTCCATGTTTGGAAGCCAGGAGAGCCACTGATTGGCAGCTGGATAGACGGGGGGTTGGGGGGGGGTGGGGAAAGGGTTACTTCTGGGGTTTTACCAAGAGCCTGATGATTTCTGGCTGCTACATCATAGCTCCTCAGGCCCACTGACTTCAGGGTGTCCCCTAGAATTTCAGCTTCTTAAGGGTTGCCCGTAGGAGGGCAGTGAGCAAGCAAAAAAGAAATAGCATCACACCTACGCAGCAGCAGCAGCTGTCTAGGAGGTGAGGCAGATGGCAAATGAACACAAAACATAGCAATCCACACACAGGCGTTGATTTAGTTACAGAACTAGAAATACTACTTTTCACTGGAAAACTTTAGATTAATTGGGGGAGAAACACTGTGTTGAGCCTCAAATTAGGTCAAAAAACCTAAAAATAGAAAAAGATAAAGAAAGATGGAAACTAACGTTAGAAGAAATTAAAGAGGAGAAAGAAACAGGCACAAAAAAAGGATGAGCAAAAATAATTAAATATAGAATAGGGGAGGCTATCTGATTTCAGAAAGAATTGATTATAAATTTATTGAAAGGACTCATCAAGGTTTAGCCAAGATTAAGCCAAGTTAATACTTCCATAGAACCTCTGTGTACTAGCAGTATTCTAAGTCTCTCTACTCATAAATGCACATACACTTAAATGTCACAACTCTGTGAGATTGGTATCATTATTCCTGCTATTCCTATTATATTCCTGTTATTCCAATTTTACAGGTGAAAAAATTTGAGTCATGGTTAAATTAATTTCCCCAAAGTTATACAGCTTCTTGGCGACCAAGCCAGGACTGAAACCCAGGCAAACGAGCCTCAAAGACCACGGTTCTAGCTCCAATACTACAGTGCTTTTCAACATGGAAGAAAAATGCTTGTTGATACCCACAGACACAGATAAAATACCATCCACGCACCCCATTGGAAGGAAATCTTTCAGCAAGGTTTCCAACCAAAAAGAACTTTTGAAAAGAACCTGAAATACAAAGAGGAGAAGCAGCAGTGAATAATAATCCCTGCAATATTTTCAACTTAAATAATTAATGACAGAGTAGAAATGGTTCACAGTGCCAAGGAATCTTTGAAATAGAAGAGATATACAGCGAAGGCAAAACTAAACAAAACTCGGATAATTATCTGGCACTAAAACAATCATGTGTTGAAGGAGAGGGAAATACAATTGACTTAAAAGTTTCTAAAGGTATCAGCTTTTAGTGGAGGGGGCCGGAGGGGCATAGATCACACGGGTGTCTAGTTTTCACAAAGTTAAAGAGACAAAAAACTTTGACTTTAAGTGTTGTGAAAAAACAAATTACTAATAGAAAGAAAATGTTCTAAGAACATCCCGGTTAACGAGATGAGAAAAGAGACTAAATGCCTAATTGTGATGCTCAAAAAAATCATGAAAAGAAAGGAAACAGAGCAATTGAACAGAAGAATGCAGAAGAGAAAGAGAGATCTGACTCAGATCTGGGGATTTGGGAAAAGAAGCCAGGGGAGAAAAACCCGAACCCTGTAGCCACTTATTGGGAGGGCTTTTAAAGTTTGCAGCAATGGATTCATGCTACTACTCTTATTTGATTCCTTGAAGGAGTCACTCGAGGTAGATAACAATGTCACCCCTGCTTCAGAGGAAGCGGCTTATCGTATCGGGTCACACAGTGATTTGGTAGTGAGGGAACTGGCACTGGCTTTGGTTTCTTTCATGCAATGCAACTCTGTTAAACACCTGCTGTGCTCCCCCACGGTGCTGGGCAGTTACACCCAGAGAGAACACGGGAGGGCAGTGGACAGAATGCCTCCCCAGCCACCCTCCCATGTGGACCTCCCTCCCCCTCCGTTAAGTTCACAATTGTCTCTGCTTACATTGGGCGGGACAGGGGACAATAGGCCCAGAACAACCTGCCATGGTGGCTTCACACTGCCTCCCATTTACAGGAGGTGACATTGTCACAAACGTCCTTCCCACTGTCTGAGAGTGACTCCAGGTGGCCCACGTGTTTTCAGTATTTGATAAACACCCCCTACCCCTACACACACCCTTTGCACATAGAGGGCAAACTCCTTGCAGAATTCATCCAAAAACATTTTCACCAGATCAGAAGCATCACTGCCGTCTCTTCCAACAGTGTGGTTTCTCTTCCTAAAGGATGTGATGCTGGAAGTCTGCAGAAGAGGAAGGTGAAAGCATTAAGCAACACTTTGCTCTTCTCTGCCACAGCCGTGTCACTGAGACCCTGAGGGTGGCTGCCTTCTGGAGCAGGGTCGCCCTACGGTGTAGTCGAGAAAATGGATTCGGTCACATCACACTAAGTGCTCAGGGACCATGATGCTGCCTCTGCATCAAACACTGAGCTCAAGCTCACTGGGGCTGTGTCCTTCCTCATCACCATGAAACTTACACTCTAGTGCAGCTTAACTGGGCATATTTGCTACCTTATTCCTGAAGGCCGTGGCTATTTTCAGACCAGGAATTATCGAGACTGAGGAGTGGAAATTCCGGGGATATCGTTTCATTATTTGTTCTCTTTTGGGGTGACAGTATGAACACAGCTCCTTGTACAAAGTTGGAGCTCCTCCAGGTTGAAAGAAGCTTATGTTTGTTTCGTGCCTTCTATTGACATGCAAATTATTTCTATTTCCAATATTAATGCTTCAGGGGCCATTTTAAGCCAGTTTTCATTCTTTGTGTCTTTAAGTGAGACAAGGTAATCTAATGAACATCTTATTATAGTCATCAGATAAATAGTTATTTCATTAATGGGTATTTCTTATCAGACTGCACAATCCAGTGAGGACAGTCTGTCTCTTGTCCTCAGATACATTCTGGAGGCTTAGCACAGTCCTTGAGCATAGTACATGTTCAATAAAGAATTGTGTATGGACAGATTGGCTGACTTTGTGACTTAATAATTGTTGGTAAAATACTGCTCGTGACTGGAGAAAAGTACCCATCTTCTAGAATGACATTTCCAGCTCTTGAATGATTATGTGACAGTTTAATTCTTATTTGTTTTACCAGTTTGTTAGACCCTCAAACTTTCGTCAATGGCTACTTGTAAATTACTGCTACCGAGTCCATTCAAACTGATGAAATTTTGAGTTTTGAAAAAAAGCATTTGGTAGGAATTTAAAGTTACTTTCTTGCATATAGTTTCAAAATAACTCAGTCATTGCGTACTTTGTTCTTTTTAAAATATCTTAATGAACATAAGTAATGAATGAATAAATAATGTAATCCTACATAAAGGTTTAGGTACAAAAACTTATTTGATTTCCCTTTTGACTATCTGATGCATGCTATGCATAAATATTTAGGGGAAAGGTGATTCTTCATAATATTTAAAATTATATGTGTATTAACATATTATGGACTGAGTACATGGAACCATTGTCAAGAGTGCCAGCAAAGAAAAATTATTGCATTGTTAATCATTACATATTTTAAAGTCTCTAACAATTACCTATCATCTTTCCATTCTTCCCCTGATTGATTCCCCTGATTGAAATTTGAATTTACTTGATCAGGTGCTATTTTATTGACCAGTAATGACTTGATTAGTTGTTCTCATTTAAATGTTTTATGCTCAGTGGCATTCATAGGAAATTCACATAACATTCTCATCTCACGTAGAAGGAAGCTATGAAAGTGAAAGCTTCCCAACCATCCTGAACAGCATCTTTTTAAAGTGTTTGCTATTTTCCAAATGAGTAGGAAAAAGCCACCTGACACGGCTTCAGAATTGATCCTTGTATAATTCTCTTAACATGGGTGGGGGAAAATAATCTTCAAAATGATGATCAGAGAATAATATGCTAAGTTCCTCTTAGCAGAAAGCACCTTTGGCACAGTGAGGTTGCATGTTCTGTGCTCGAATTTATCTCTAATAAATATGATTTCCGATGTAGAGAACTGTTCATGCTGCAGATTGTTGCCAGACAATATGAAGAACCACTTACTCAGGCACCTGATCTTTTAGAATGCGGCATCGTTTGTAACAATTTTAACGCTAACTAAGTACACTTTGATGAGACAGCATTTAATAAAATGCTCATTAATTTCATCATTAGCAAGGGTATGCTAAGAAGTAAGCCAGTTTCTTATGTCACGCCCAATTAGCATCCCGTGCTAGTAATCCCATTAGTATTGTTGAATTCACTAATGGAGAAACTAATGGGCATGGTACCAGGGCACATTAATTGGGCACGACACCAGTTCTGGTTTTAATTATTAAACTACGATAATGAAATGTGTGTTTGTAAAATATTTAAATGTTGAAATAGGGTTGAAGGAAATAAAGAACATGTTGAGAGAGGAAAGAGATAGAAGGAAAGTCAGCCTATGAATATTCAAGGGCTAGAAAATGAACTCAGCAAATGGTGGGTTTTTCTCTAGCCGGTCACGTTGTCTGTAAAAGTTGGGGTATTGTTTACGAGAGAAGCAACCCATTCATACCCATGGGAAATTGAAAGCTGTTTGGGGGTCATAGGAGATGCTGTATGTCATCCATGTTCTCACACTCTCTATGAGGCCTGACAGGAGCCAATTAACAGTGTAGAGTGGACATCTCATGTTGCTGAAGCTCTTTTAGGGAAATCTAAACAGAAATGTTTCAGATGGTATGATTCACATTGCAGTTTTTGCGATAAAAATCTTCAGCCATATTATATCAGGTAATATATAAGTTTCCTCGTTTCGAAAAATGTTATACCAAAATAGAGTTTTGTGAAACATTGCAAACAATTAAGAAAAAATTTTAATAATACTTTACCCAGTCTTATTTTGAGTTTTTAAAAATTGTCAGTGGTTGAAGTGCATTACTGCTCAGAAAATCAACTTTATCAAGAAAGAAAGAAAGAATTTTTTTCTTTCCTTTAGAAGGTTTAGAATAACTTCCTGGTTGCTCTTTCTTTGGTAGCAGTAATATTAACTGATGATGGTAACAAACTTGAAATGTCTTTTACGCATTCACACTAAAAGGAACAGCATTGTGTTAATCATAATATACTGAAAAAGTATTTGTTGGGCTGCAGTGTGCTGAGATAGTTCTTTTTTTCTTTTTTTATTCTCACTTCCTTTCTGAGACTCACTATTCTTGATATCTGCCATTTCCTGGTATCCGCTTAGGAACCCATTTTTAACTCTGACACTATTATCTTAGGCAAAAGTATAACTGCTAGATCTCAGACTATGAAGCACTGAGTACAAAGTTTAACCACAACACTAAACAGCCAGTTTTCAAATAACTGGCTAATTTTCAATGTCACTGCATTCCTCATTAGGTCACCTAGGCAAGAAAAACTAACTTGACAGACATTTCCCTGTCTTAAAAACTATATCGATTGAATAGTATTTGATTAGCTTCAAATTCTTGTCTTTTATATGCTTGATCAAAATTAAAATATAAATTGTAAAATAGGAACTTTATTACCTTTCTGATGAATATAGGTTATCAAAATGCAAGTGTGGGTAGGGAGCAATGGGGGGGAGTTGGGATCATTGTAACTGAACCCAATAAAAAAAGATTATATTCAAAATCAAGAAAAAGCAGGCATGCTTATGAGAAATTCTTACTCCAAAGAGGGGTCCTTTTCAGATTTGAGCACAGTGGTCTTCACAGAAACACATCCCCGATGAAACGGATGATGGTAGAAATCAATCAACTTCAGCTCTGAGTTCTGTTTGAAGCATACCTGCATCAGGCTCCTGTTAAGATTTATATATTTGTATGCATTCATTCATTCTCTCCTTCATTCTCTCCAGGGCTCATCAGTGGAGGTGACCACGACCAATGACGATGGCAAACAATACAGTGATGGCCAATGGCATGACGTAATCGCTATTCGGCATCAGGCTTTCGGCCAAATCACACTCGATGGGCAATATACCGGTACAAACTTCCCTGGTAGATGACGATGATTCTGTTGATGTGCCGATGGTGCCACACTCTTCTGTTATCTGTATTATGCCTGTTCTTCCCCCCTTTTCTCCACTCAACTGCGTCCAAATTGCTTGTTGAGGTTACCTTCGGTTGCTCCTACGTAATGAGGTCTGGCAACCATTTGCTCGTCCATACAGGGCATTTCTGTCAAGCAAAGATAAGACAAAGTCATCAGTAGCAATTTTGTATCTGGAACAGTTCTTTACCATTTGAAAGGGCATGAGCTTAGGTTTTTCTTCTTACTTTTGACTTCCAGAAGATGAATAAAACAAAGCAGTGATTGTATGCATTTCAGAGATGAGGAAACTGAGGCTCAGAAAAGGTAAATAATTGCTCCCAATTTGGTAGGCAGCATTCTTGGGGGACAGACATACCCTGTCTTTGCAAATCCAAGGTTAGTAGTATCCTTCCCATCCTACCCTATCTATCATCATCATGCAATTACAAAACAGGTACAGGATCTGTATGGTAATGCAGGCTTTTATTAATTTATTCAAGAGATACAAAATTGTAATGAGCACCTACTACATGCCAGGCATTGCTCTAAGAATTCTGGACACAGAAAAACTTACACTTTAGGTGGGAGAGGGGCAGGAGACAAAATAAATAACTATTGACCCATCAGTTATGTGCTGAGAATAATAAAGTCAGACGAGAGGGAAAGGGGTGAATGTGTGTGTGCTGGGAGAGGATGCTTTGGTTTTAAACTGTTAGAAGTGGCCTCTCTGATAAGGTGATGCCTGAGCAGAGACCTAAAGGGGGTGATAGGGTAAATCAGAGAGTGTTCAGCAGAAGGGTGTTTTGAGCCAGGTAATCAGTGGGCACCAGGGACCCGAGGTGAGACCATACCACATGGGACATGTCTGCGACCAACAGGAGGCCAGTGTAGGGAAGGGGGGTGGGCAAAGGGCTGGTGGTGGCCTATGACACCAGAGAAACCATTAGAGCTGTATGAAGTGAGGCTTTGTGGACTTTTTCCTGAAGAGAGGAAACCATCAGAGAATTCTGAGAGCGGAGCGACATGAAATGACTTCTTTCTTTAAAAGTAACATTCTGGCTGCTCCGATGAGACTGCCTTTTATGGGACTGTGGCTAGAAGCATGGAGACATGTGAATAGGCTCTTGTGGTAATTTTTAAACAATTCAGGCAAAAGCAATGATGGGTTTTTTTGAACAGGGAAGTCATTTGAATACAAAGAGATATGTGGAGATATGGTAAATGTTACATTAGAAAGAACAGATTGTCATAGAGCAGGCAAACTCCCACCTGTGGGCCAATTCAAGCTCTAGCCTGTTTTTGTAAAGTTTTATTGAAATCCAACTGTATCTATTTGTTCCATATTGTCTGTGGTTGCTTGGGGCTCTATGATCTGCAAAGCCTAAAATATATGCTGATTGGCCCTTCACAGACAGAGCTTGCTCACCCCTCCTGTAGAGCATGACACTAGATTTGGGGTCAGGGCTACCGAAGAAGGTAGCTGCCATAGCGAAGATGTCCGAGACATAGGGACAAGCAGATCGGGAGGGAGGCGTTCAGAGTTCAGTTTGCACTGGTTAGGTCTTAGATCTCCATGAGATACCCCAGTAGTGATGTCAGGCAAGTTACCGAACACACAAGTCTGAGTTCAGGGAGAGAGATTTGCAGACTAGAGATGCAAATCGGAGTTGTCGGCTGAGATGGATTTTAAAGCCGGGGGACCAGATATACGTAGGGCTGATCACAGTGGTTTGGGCTCTGAGAAGAACATTGCCGCTCCTCTGAAAGAAGAATGGAGTCAGAAATCTTAACGGGAGGTGTGCATTTTGATGCACAGAGTCGGGGACCCAGGCCTGTCCTGGGCTTTGGCCCTGGTACTTTGCACAGGTGCCCTGCCACCAACTTACTCTCTGAAGGATGTAGGGTGTCGTTGTAGGTGGAGCAAGAGATCAGAGATGGAGAAGGCCTGGGTCACCCCAACATTGAGATGTTGGGGCCGATGAGGGAGAACCCATGCAGAAAATTATCCAGGGCAGACGCTATGGGAAGGGAAGGACCAAGAAAGTGATGTCCCAAAACCCAGTGAAGGATTCACTTACTTGGTAAACGAGTAGAAAAGATAATCCTGCTGACATTGGACTTGCCTTCTGCGCCTCCCTAGGCTCCTCTGGGCGCTGGAACGGCAGCACCGTTATCGGAGAGAACACAGGCGTGTTTGTGGGGGGCCTGCCACAGGGCTTTGCCATCCGGAGGAGGCATCCCGGTGAGTCTGGGAAAGTTCTAGAATGTATAGGTCATCCCCAATATTTAGAATAGAATCAAATGACATTGCTTTAAAGAGGGAGTAGTAGTTAGTAGTGTTATTTTCTGTCTTATGTTGTATTTATTTCCTGTATCCATATGTCCCAATTTTCCCTTAGGTCTCTCCTCCTTTCTAAAGGAGCCTTGTATTAACTTCACTGAAAATCTTAGCCACCTATCCTTGATGTGTAAAAGTTTCTTAAACTTTTGCTTAAATGAATTATGCTATTTTAGCAGTGTGTGTCAATTTGGTTTGGAGATTTTTAAGTTGAACATAAAACCACCCAGAAATGGAGAGCCACGAGTTTGATTTTCAGTTTAAATTGGATGAAGAAGGTTTGCATGTGGACTGAGCTGTGTGAAAGGCAGTGACTAACTAACTCAGTCCCAAGATAGCCACAGGTGTATTAATAGCATGGGGTCTTTGCCACGACAGATGATTCGAGCCTGATGCCATGAGTGCTGTAATTGGGGCAGAGTCGAAGACATTCCTGTATTTTAGGGCAATGGAACAAAAACTGTGAAGCCAATACAACTAACCCGAGTGAAATTAACCTTAAGCAGAAAAAAATCTCCCTTCCTAGAAACAAGAGCAAAGTACTGATTGACTTGTAAAACAGACAAGTTTGTTATGATGAGGGAACTAAACTGTAAACAGTAAATTTAATAGAAACGGTTCCTTCAAATGTTACTTTTATAACATGATAGCACGTTTATTTTTTTAAGGTTTTATTTATTTATCTTTAGAGGGGAAGGGAAGGAGAGAGGGAGAGAAATATTAATGTGTGGTTGCCTCTTGTGTGTCCCCTGCTGGGAACTGGCCTGCAACCCAAGCGTGTGCCCTGACTGGGAATCCAGCTGCGGTTGTTTGGTTCACAGGCCCGCACTCAATCCGCTGAGCTACACCAGCCAGGGCACCATGTTTATTTTTTAAGATCAATGGCAGATGAAATGTCCTTGATAGGTCAAAAGGCATTATTTGCCCTGGCTGGTGTGGCTCAGTGGATTGAGTGCCAGCCTTTGAACTAAAGGGTCGCTGGTTCGATTCCCAGTCAGGGCACATGCCTGGGTTGCTGGCCAGGTCCCCAGCAAGGAGCGTGTGAGAGGCAACCACACATTGATGTTTTGCTCCCTCTCCTTCTCTCTCCCTTCCTCTCTCTCTAAAATATATATAAATAAAATCCTTTATAAGAGGCATTATTCTATCTACTACTATGAAACCAACTTCTATTTTGCCTTAACATCTGTTGCTGTATATACAACGGGTCAGGTTGGAACCAGGGCTAAACATTATCATTGTTACCACTTAGCATAGCTGGTGGTGGGTGTTTACATGAGTCATTAAGGGTCTGCAGTGAATAGGTGGAGAGAGCTATTGCCCGTTACTTTTACTTGCACATAAATTAATTGCTTGAAAAGAATTTTCAAACTACGTATTTCTTGATATCCCCCAACTCCCGCAGACATAATTCGAAAGGGCTTTGTGGGCTGCCTCAAGGACGTGTACTTTATGAAGAATTACAACCCCTCTGCTGTGTGGGAACCGCTGGTTTGGCAGAATTCTGAAGAGCAACTCAACGTGCAGAGCACCTGGGAAGGGTGCCCCTCTTCATTGCAGGAGGGGGCTCAGTTCCTAGGGACAGGTAAGTCCTCAGATAGCCATTGGGTATCACCTAGTATGCATGTTCTACCCTTGGCATAGTTTTATCTCACCTGTGCAATTACTTTGACCTCTCAGGAATACCTGCTTATGCCATGGTGCCCATAAATACATGCTCAAAGTTGGGAAATGTATTATAAATTGTAAGACTCATGAATAAGCGCATATAATTGTGTGTAAGCTCTGAGGTGGCCCAAAGCACCTCTTGGTTTACATGTGTTCGTATCAGAAATGTCCATTTGGAAGTCAATTGTTTTACCTGGAATAAAATTTACGTAGAAAGCTGTTTCAAAGGAGTTGCCAGGTTAACCCACAAATACCTACTTATTTTATTACATAGACGGGTACTATTGCTCAGAGTAAAATTTCAGCTTTGTGATGGGGTAAGTAGGTCATCAAAAAAGAGCTAGAGAGGATAACCCCTCTCATTGCCATTTTACCAAAGGCTACAGCAACGGTGATGTGGTGTTCCTGGTTTGCCCCACCCCAGTCTCTGCCTGGCAGCCCTCCAGGATAATGGGGTGGGGATGTGGAAGACGGGGATTTGATGGCTCATTCTTCAGATGAAAGCCCACCTTTGCCTCCTGACCTTGTAACTAAATGGGTCAGTTTTTTAGTTGCTTAAACTACATTTGAAATAGAAAGCTACCTGATATCATAATCTGTGTACTTTTTCATTGCTCTTTCTCATCGTCGCTTTCAGAAGTCAATGAACTGCCTATTGCTAAGATTTATATAAAACAGCAATACCTTAGCTGTATCCATGGTTTAGAGAATAAATTACTTCCTCTTACAAGGTATGTCAAGTTCATTCTCTCACTTCTGTACAATTACAAGGGGGCGTTCCTAACATTGAACTGCTTCTTCTTTTGTGAGACATGTACACAAGGACAGTGCATGTCCTGAGGGCACCTTATGGCACATGTACGATGCTGGCTTTCCACACGCTCATATGTACATATTCCTTTCTTTAAAGGATTCCTGGAACTCTATCCATACACGTTTCATGGTGGACTGGACTTTGAGATTTCCTTTACCTTCAGAACAGACCAGTTGAATGGATTGCTTCTCTTCATTTACAACAAAGATGGACCCGATTTTCTTGCTGTATGTTAATTTAATTTCATTTAATTTACCTTACAATGTCAGATCCAACTTTAAATAAACAAACCAGGGTTCACAGTATACTAAATAGGGGGTTCCTTTCAAATTTACTTTTGTTTTTATATTTTCCCCCTAAGTCATTTTCAGTGTTGGAGTTCTATGGAGCATTTTATATTTCAGGGTCACGATGATTTTTTAAATGACCATTATTACCAAGACCATGGAAATTGTAATTTTAAAAAATATTTTATTTATATATCTTTAGAGGGGAAGGGAAGGAGAGAGGGAGAGAAATATCAATGTATGGTTGCCTCTCGTGCGCCCCCTGCTGGGAACTGGCCTGCAACCCAGGCATGTGCCTTGACTGGGTATTGAACCATGGTTGTTTGGTTCACAGGCCCGCACTCAATCCACTGAGCTACACCAGCCAGGGCTGAAAATTGTAATTTTAACAAAACAGTATAAGGGATTAAAATCCAGCTTTCTACAATGGTATAAAAGTGCAGCGAACCCCTGTGAACATAGTACCCCACCCAGGTACTAAAATGTTACCCTTTTTTATATCTATGTCTCAGGTCTCTGCCAACCCATTTCCTGCTCTTTCTCCAGAGTTTGTATGTCACTAGAATCTTGTGTTTATTATTCTCTCTCATGCTTGTAGTTTGAATGCCATGCATGAATGTCTAAAAATTCTTGCTTTTGGCATTGAGAAAAACGGTGTTATACTCTCATTGCTATGGGCTTTCCCAAATACTAGCTGCCCTGGATTTTCCTGAAATCTGCTGGCTTCTGCAAGATCATTGTCACCTTAAATAGATTTACTCTACTTTCCCTTAAAACATTGCTCTTAACCAAAAATTCTATATTCCTCTCCTTTTTTCTTTTCACTCTGTTTACACGAACTAGATGATTGCATTGATCTCACTGTGAACTTTTTCCATTTTACTGGCCTGTCTTTGTGTTCAGCTGCCTCAAGAAAACTTCATTCTGGGTGTCTTACAGGCATTTTGAACTCCCCCCTGTTCCTGATAAAAACAATAGACAGTCTTTCTCTCTAATGCTTTGTGTATCGTGAGGGTGGAAAATCACACTCAAGCAAGTAAGAGGGGTGTCTCCATGTGTCCTTGACTGACTTCATTCATATAATACATTCAGCTGTTCACCAGGTCCCACTGGCTAGCTTTTAAAAATCACCGCTTAGATTGAATTTTCACTGTTATCATTATTATTATCCTTAGTTTAATCTCTCTCATCATTTTCCCCCCAAATTTCACTGATTCTATGATAGTTTTTTTTTTTCCAATTCCAGTCCAGCTTTTATTTCTAGTATATACTTCTTAGGACTGGGAGGGTGAACTGTTAGCTACGATAATGGCGGAAAGAATACGGGTGAACATTTTTATTGCTCAAATTCTTCAAAAATCTTGCTTCTATATACCTGGCAGGACTTTTCCTACCAACCCCCCAACCCCCCACCCCTGCCCACTTACAGTCATCCTCTATCTTTCCTAACTTGGTCCCTTTCTCTAGACCTAATGAGCTTGTGCAAATCCCCATGCCATGGAGTGTGTTAATCCCCTGCTCGGAGGGTCTTCCAGGGACCTCACATCCCTGTACTTTAAACCTTTCCCACCTCCCAGGGACCTCTTGCATTGCACCCTGTTACAGAGCTGTTTTGCCTGCTTGCCTGTCTTGTTAAACATCTTTATCCGGACTTACTTATTTGGTTCACCAGACATGACCGATCTCAAATTTTTAAGTATCCCATGGTCACTGATTTGACTTCTAACCATTTAAAACATAGTAAAGATAATCACCATGTACCATTTTGAAAGAAACACATACTGGAGGCACTTTTTTATCATGAAAATTTGGGCAAAATATGTTTGGATTAGGAAAGGACACCGTAATCCAAAAGGAAACACAGAGAAGCAATTATGTAAGTTAGAGATTTAGAATATTAAAACTGAAATAGTGAATTAGAATACATCTTAAAAGTTTGAAATTGAGTTCACCAACCAGTTAAAACAAGCTTAATCAAGCTTGACATTTCATTTTCTTATTGTCTTGTCATATTTCCCCCCAAAATTAAATTGATATATGAAGTAGTGTTTGCTCATTTTCTAAAGTCTCAAAAATACCAGTTCAAACTGTTCTGTTCTCCTCAGCCACTTATGCTAGGGTTTAAGATTTATGTTTTTAGCCCCCCCCCCAAAAAAAAACAAGGTCCTGCCTATATCATATTGTGTGATATCATATAATCACTGCTGCATATACATTTTTTGACTCAATACAAAATTCTTCCTGTCAGTTATAAGCTTGTAAAGTACTTCATTGTATGTTACTCCAGTTTAGCTCAGAACAAAGTGGAATATTTTTATAGAGTGATTTCAGGGAAATTTCTTGCTTTTCTTCAAGAAATTGACCTTCCGCTTGCTCCCAAACTGCCACTCTGCAGTCTTTTTATATCTCTGTTCTCCCTCGTGTAATATGGAACGCAGGTGGAACTGAAGAGCGGACTCCTGAGCCTGCGGTTGAACACCAGTCTTACCTTCACCCGCCTGGACCTGTGGCTGGGGCTGTCCTACTGTGATGGAAAGTGGAATAAAGTAGTTCTCAAGAAGGCGGGCCCCGTTGTCTCTGCCAGTATGAACGAACTGACAGAGCGCGTGTCCGAGTCCAGAGCCCAGCCCCTGACCGTGAACTCCCCCGTCTATGTTGGGGGAGCCCCATCATGGCTGCAGGACTCTTACAAACACCTGACTTTGGAACCAGGTAAAAGCCCCCTGGGGGAATCCCAAACCATGACAGCCCTGGTCTTAACCATGATTTGGTGGCTCTGTGTTTCGAGATACAGCAATGGAGTCAGGCTATGTGCAACACCCCCCCCCCCTGTGTTGCAGAATTTTAAGCTCTTAAGGATTACAGGCTACTTCTTCAAACAGTTTTGTACATTGCCCTTAAGTGTGTGCCCTCATACATAATCAATATATTTATAAATGCTTTGTCTATTTATAACCAATAGATATATTATAACATGTCTTCAGAAAATATGATTTTAGATGGTATGTAATATATTGGTCCTTGCCATGGTTTTCACAGAAAACACATGTGGTTCTGGTTCTTTTGAATACTCATCACTACATTTACAGGCTAAGAAATGAATTAGGTTGGTGTGCACGACCAGGAAAAATGGCATTCAATTCACTAGGGTTGTTTTCTGACATAAAGGCTGATCATCTCCATGCATTTCAAAGGTGCTCTTGCACAGCAAAGCACACGAAAAGGTGGGTTGAGCTGAATTTCAAAGTTCTTGAGAAAAATCTCTCATTGGTTCTTAATAGCCATGAAGGAAACGTTCATGAGTGTATGAGTCATAACTAAAGCAAGTATTTGACCCCCCCTTATGGTTAAACACATAACATAATCAGAGGAAAAAATAACTCATCTAACACATAGTATTTAACTCGTGTAATGAACAAACCCAGGTAGAGAGACTCATTTTAGAAGGCTAACCGTGACTTAGTGCGTTCTGTGTGCCAGGCATGCTTCCAAGAGCTTTTACGAGTGGGAGGGCGTTCTCCCTAACAAGCCTATGAGTGAGGTGTTGTTATGTGTAGCTCCATTTTACAGGTGACGGACCTGAAGGGCAGGGAGGAAAGTCATTTGCCCAAGGTCACATGGCTGGTAGCAGATAGAGAGCAAGAGCATAGGTCAGGCTTCCTGGTGTCAAAGTCCACTTTCTTATAAGACGTGCTCTCTCTATGGGCATGGGCCAGTGTTCCTTCTCTCCAAAGTGGGGCGCCAGCTTGGGGCCCAGCACACTCCCATGTAGAAAATGTTCTCTATGTATTTCAGAATCTATGCACTGTGAATGGTTAAAACATCCACAAAGCAGTTTTTGCCTATTTGGGGAGTACATAAAGATTTAAATGCCTCTGAAGGGAAAATATATGGCAGGCCCTCAGAAGACTTGTAGAAGGGTACGAGTAAGGAGTTAATGAATGTCTGAGGGGGAGACAGTAATGACATTTCCAAGGCACTTAACGTGTAGCAGAAGCTGGAAATATTGCGTCCGTATAAAGGTTTCTCCTGATGTTCAGGTTTCGGAGGTTAGAAAGAGCTTGAAATCCCTTTATATGAGCAAGATTCCTCAACTGTATTTACAGCCGGGAAAAAAAACTCCCTGCCTGTCAAGCATCATGCTTTCCAACTCCCACTGCCAGCATGGCCCTAGAGACGTGGCTTAAACTATAGTGGTATAATGCTAGAAGTTTAAAACATCAACCTAGACCCAAGTAGAAGAATTTAATCTGCACCAGGACTAAATCTACAATACTGAAAGATATTTTATCTATGGGTGATACTAAATTTTTATCATCGTAGTGTCAGCCATATTAGTGGTTCTCAAACCACTGATAAAATGTGAAGTGGAGTAGCTGGGACATAGGAAGAATGCAATACAATTAGCTGGTATCATTATTATTATTATTATCCAAGATATATTAGGATTCCCTGGAAATGTTATTAAAATGCATATTTTATGACACTGTCCCCTACCATTCCAGCTCACATGCATTGAGTGATACTAATCTTTATAAGTAATTACATGTTTTATATGGAGATCAGGAAAATATTCACTATAGAGAGGCAGTGCCTACATGAAGTATTTAAATCATAATTCAGTTTAATCATGTGCACGTGCTGTATTTTTGAGTCCATTAGCAACAGTCTTAACAATCTTCCTATGCTTCTCAATTAGCACCTCTTTTCAGAGGCATTTTGTTAGGGTTCTTCCCCCCCCCCCACACCTTATCCATTAATGTTGTAATGTCCCTTTGAATCAAATGCAAATGAATGTGTCTCTGTGTTTTGGAAATGCTGGCCAACATACTTTGCTGAAGATGTGCCAATTCATATCCCAGGCATGTAGCTTAGAACCATCACGTGGGACTAACCCTGACCTCTAGGGTGGGAGTGCCTGGGTGTGGCACATGGTGGCCTCAAGTTCGGTTCCGTGGAGCAGGCGGGAGTTGGGGTGGAAGCCAGACTTTCTACCAGGCCGAGAGCCTGCAGTTGGATGCTTCCCTCAGAAGGGCCACTGGCTGAGTCCTCAACCCAGAGCTCTGGAGTACGTTTTAGGTACTTGGAGGCCTAAGGCTGGGGTGGTGGCGGGAGGGTTTGTTTGTGTGTTTGTTTTTGACTCTCACAAAGTCAGGGAAGCAAGAAGAGGAGGAGTCTACTATTCTCCCACATACAGATCCTCTCCCCTGTTCTTCTCCTCACAACGCATTCGAATATGGGAGGAAGTCAGGCAGCGTTCCTGGTGGAAGTGTTTCTTGGGGTGCAGATTTGAAGGACCATTGCAAAGTCATTCTCAGGGCTTTGCCCCATGGGGGCCAGTGAAACTCACACTGATGCTCAGGCACCTTCACCGGTGATGTCAGCCAGCAGAGCGCCACTTCCCTATGAGGACTAGACCTCTCAGACTTCCTGCTGCGACTCGGGACCTTCGTCAATGCAGGGAGGGGAGACTCTGCCTGTGGCCTTCCCATATTGAAAACTCCATCCTGTAGATTAATTCTTAAGACTTTTTTCTTAAAATTTTAAAAAGTGTGCAGAACTCCACAAGCTTTACCGTATTAACTGTTTTTAGACGTGCAGTTCTGTGGCATCATACATACGCGCATTGTTGTGCCGTCATCTCCAGAATTCTTCCCGTCTTGCAAACCGAAACTCCTTGCCTCTTAAACCTTTAGTGGAATGTTTCTTATAACACAGCTCAATGCTTGCCAAAGCCCCCTTTCCACTGTTGGCACCTTGTTGGCGGGGAAACTGGACAGGGTCCAGGGAACTTAGGTGATTCAGTTCCTTCCCATCAGAAGATCACTGGCGAAGAAATTAGAATTCTTAGCTCTTGCATTGTCAGGTGGATGCTTTTTTGTTGAGCTCCATTCCTTTCAATTCAGTTCACCCAACTTATTGAGTAGCTACTGTGTGTCCAAGATAGACTAGCAGTATTGATCGCCCAGGCCTAGAAGAGGGTGAATAATAGCAAAGGCATTTCAAAGGAAAGAGGCTGCCACTTAACGTGTCTGGAGCCATAATAAATGCTGAAGAGAACAATATGGTCGTTGTTACTATTACCTTATTTTACTGTTCAGTGTTTGCTTGATGGTTTATTTGCACTTTCTGTGGAGGTGCTTTAATCTTGAAAAGAGCTAATTATGTGCTCAGGGCCTTTTGAACTTGACAGTGCTTTGTTCAGAATGCGTGTGTGCATGTGTGTGATACAGCGATCTCAAAGGCAGTCTGCTCATTTCTTCCCTTACCTCTTGGAGCAGAATTTCTAAGCAGAGCACTGCCTGACCTCACAAAACTGACCTCTGTTTTCACAGACTAGCATGGGATCCAAAGCCACTGCCTGTCCCTGGCTGGCTGCCCCCCCCCCATGGTTTTCCCCATCCATTTCCTCCATGTTCTGTGTTCAAGTTCACGGACCCAGGCTGTGTCATGGTTGTGCTAGAGTCAGCTCTGCAGATGACATGTTCAGTGAAACCTTGGGTGTTGCCATTGCTGTAGTTGGTCCCGGTCTTGCTAACACAAGCCCAAAACTAGTACCACCATCTCCATCCTCGGTTCTGGAACTCCAAGAAAATGGTCGAGCGCAGCCGCAGTTCCTCTCTCTGCAGATATGACTGGGACTTAGTTCTGTGGCTCCCAAAGATTATTACGGAATTCCCTGCAATATCCCAGGATTCTAGAGTATTTTGAAACTCTATTCTCCCTCCTGTTCTCCTGCATAATATCCTCTAAGGGTATTTTTCCCCCAAAGATCTTGTTGAATAATTATGCCACTTCAAATATTTATTTTTTTGGCCCATAAACCCTGACTTTTAGAGGGAACTTCATTTGTTAGAATCGTGGGGTATGAGGATACCCCCTGCTATAATGTGGAATTGCCTCAATTTTATGTCATGGACATCTATGCAATAAGAAAAATGTGCATAATAAGCACTTTCAGTTGCATAGAAGTCAGTTGAGTTATACTTATCAGCTTATATATATTTTTAAATGACATAATTATTTCCTTGAGATAACTTCATCTGATAAAAAGCAAGAGGAGACATGGAGGATTTCCCATGGGAGAATTGCAAGTTTAAAACTTGTTATCTAAAGCACCGCCCCCACCCACCTCGTGAAAATGTACCGCAGAGCACAAAAGTGATAGGTAGTGAATGACCCCAGCCCTCCCTGTGACACGGACCTCTCACCATTGCCAGGTTTCGGTGGCTGCATGAGGGACGTTGCCTTCGCACGGGGTGCTATTGTTCACTTGGCGTCTGTGTCCAGCAGTGCTGTCAGAGTCAATCTGGACGGGTGCCTATCAAGTGACAGCGCAGTTAACTGCAGGGGAAATGACTCCATCCTCGTGTACCGGGGACCAGAGCAGAGCGTTCGCGAGCATGGTCTCCAGCCTTTCACAGGTAACGTGGAGGTGCGTGGGGTGGATCGTTGCCTATCTCCTCCCTGTCCCCTTCTCCCTGCTGCCAGCCCACCCCTTGTCTACATGACTAATTAATTTTACTTTCTCCTCCTCCTTTCCACTTAAGAACACCTGTATCGAGTGATAGCCTCACACGAGGGTGGTTCTGTCTATAGCGATTGGAGTCGGGGACGAACCACAGGAACAGGTAAGTGTTCTTTACGTTCAAGTGTGCATGTGCCACATCCGTGATTGTGCATGTGAAGATAAGGAAAGACCATCCCCCTGAGGCAAAGAGTGTGTTTGCAGGCTTGTGACAGAGCGAGCCTTGGTGGGGAGATGCATCAGCCAATGGCTCAATTTGGCCCTTTTGATTTTTCAAGAACCTAGTAAGTACTGGCCCAGGCTTGATTCTTTGCTCTTAGTATGCAGGAAGAACTTGCATGTTGTCTTAGGGATTTCACGGGCTTGTATGTACAGGAATACAGTCAAGGACAGGAACCTTCTTGGACTGCAGACTCCAGGAAGCTACAGTCAAGGTCACCATTAAGTGGGGGCGGTGACCTGTAGCCTCCCTGTGGCAGAAGGTGCACGAAACCTGCACCCTGGTCAGAAACACATGTCTTCTATCCCCTCGTGACAGATGCGTGCCATGGTGTTGACTTTAGGGTCTTAGAAGGACTCGCCCAGGATGGAAGTTGATGATCAGTCTAATTTTTTTGCATTAGCGGGGAGACAACTAGGAGATAGCTAGAATACATTAGGTCTCATCTCAGACAACTGATTTATAAATGTGTTGAGCTTCTGACAGTGACCAAAACATCTTTTTACAGAATGTCATCACAAGAAGGCATTCATCACAAAAAGTTTGGTGAATCAGTACCCTTCTACCCTTTTGGGTCAAATATCTGTCAGAAAGGCAAATCCATTTCCATATGATTGCCACTTAAATCTCTTAACATTTATCCTTAGCAAGTTACAATTTATTAAAAGATGTGTTTTTCACTAAGATAGTCCCTCATACTTTTTATCAACAATAGGTTACTAACCCAGGCATCTTCTGCAGAATCTTGTTCATGTAAAATATAATTGAATACCAAGATGAGCTACTAAGAATAATTTTTGAAGATCCCTGCCTTACAGGTTTTCTAGAACAGGACAGCTTGACACTTTTCCAGGATTATTCAAATTATCATCTCTTTGTAGGCAAGACAATGAATTGAATATTCGCTTAAAAATCTTACTCAACTTCAGCGCTTACAGAAAGCCCTGATAGAAACTATGCTTTTGTTACCGGAATGTCCTCTGGCCTGATTTCACACTCCTCTACCTTATTAACAAATACGCTATAAAGCCTGCTTTCAACCTAATTCAGTAAACAGGATTCTAGGAAGTGCATCGCTTGTATAGCTTAACAGTCTCCATTTTGAGGGCCACTGAGAAAGCCTGCAAAGAAAGCTCTGAATTTATAGCCATGATCTGACCACAAAAACTTATGCCATAAATTCATATTTACAATCTGACCACAACACCAAGCAGCTACATGCTCCCAGGGGTTGGAGAATAATTGCGCTATTTAATTATTTTGGAGTCAGTTTTGCTCCGTCCCCTATGAGAAGACCATCTGTTAGCCAGTCCTGTACTCTGCCCTGTACCACATTTCAGAACTAATAAAATCAGCATCGCTGCCGCTGTCCCCGTGCTGGCAGCTCCACTGTGCGGTCCGCGTGCTGTCTGTGAGCCCCCATGGCGTTTTACCTGTGAAGACACTGGCCTTCCTCCTCCGGGCTTCCCTGCTCATCATCCTTCCCGCTCCCTTCGCTTCCCTGGAAGCCGCCCTATTTTACGGGTCTGAATAGTAAAGGCCGACCAGGAGGAGAGCTGATGTGGGAAGACCGGAGCCACGTCCTCTGATGCCAGGGCTCTGGAGTCCATGAGCGGTCAGAGCAGGTCTCTCATCCATCATCCTGCCATTGGCCTTCCTGGGGCGTTTTCTCAGTGTCCCCATGCAGTCAGCTGTGATGAAGTTTTTCCTGCTCAGCCCTGTGGAAGCATGCAATAAGTAGTTAAAGGTATGGATTGTTCAAAGGAGGGGGCACAGCTTGTCCGTGAGGTTTTGCAGTCGCTTTAAACTTCCTTGTTTCGCGTTAGTGTTTTGTGATACTCAGAAGAAAATGTCCCCCAAAATGATGGTGCCAAACCTCAGGGGGACAAGCTTCTCTAACCCAGGGACGTGCTTGTTGCTGTATCTGTAAATCATATCTGATAGAATTTTGATTTTTAAAAATTAATATGAAAACAATTGAATTCGTTAACTTGAAAAATAACTAAATAAACGAATTCAATTGTTTTCATATTAATTTTTAAAAATCAAAATTCTATCAGATATGATTTACAGATACAGCAACAAGCACGTCCCTGGGTTAGAGAAGCTTGTCCCTAACTAAATAAAATTTAAAAAAAAAAAAAAAGAAAACAATTGAATTCGGACAATGAGATCAGGCATTCAAGTACAATGCCATCCCATATGTGATATTTTTTGGCTCATATGTTGAAGATATAAAAGTGTCAAAGCACTGTGTATAATAACACTAATTATCTTGCTTCAAGGGGATCCATCCATACATGGTTTGAACTTGTTATCTGCCCACCATCCACCTCCTGCTTTATGAGTGATGTTTAAAACATGTCAACTACGTTAAATATTTTGGGAAAACCTGGACTAGCCTTGAAAGAATGTTATGTCGATGGAGTTTTGATGGTTTTGAAATATCGCTTAAACCAAATGGCTAAAGATGTGCAGTCATATTAAATCAATGCTGAAAAGTTACAACTCTAATAAATTGTATTTATGCTAATGGTTGAGTCTGATTTACTGCGGCCATTAAAAGTGAAGAATGGGGCCATAGTCTTCTCAGTGTGGCCGTTTTCTCTATTTTCTCTTTCATCCTCTCGCAGCTCCACAAAGCGTGCGGCCTCCCTCCAGAGTCCACAGCGTAAATGGACGCAGCGTGGAAGTGACCTGGGATGAACCCGCTGTGGTGAGAGGTGTAATTGAGAGGTACCTCCTGAGAGCCTACCAGGAGGGCGGCAGCCCCCACCCACCCCGCCTGCCCGCTGCCACTTTGGAGCTGGTCAATACCAGCACCCGCACAGGTAAAGGCAATGCCTTGTGGGAGTAGATCTTAGTAATGTTCTGTTTGTTTGATTTTAAGTAAAAACACTCTTCAAGATTTTTCCCCACAAGCCCATTCATTATTCATCTGTTTTTGCCTGATTAAAGGTAGGACCCATCTAATGAGATGGGAACTTGTACCCACCTAGGATGAGAAGAAGAATTCTAGACTATCACAGCTTTTGTGCATAGCTTCAGTACAAGATTGAAATTCTCTCTATCCCTAGAAGATTAGTTCACAGGTGTTTATAACCCTTCAGAGTCTCTAGGCATCGTTTAGTTCTCCTGCGTGCATATATACCACCAGCTTACCTATTTCACCACAGAGAAGTGTACTCCTTGGGACCAGCCCGAGTTCACAGCACCATTATTTATTGTAAAATTGTTCATTAAACCTAATTACGTCCAGGTGGAGGAGGAGGAGAGCACCAGCAGTCTGACAGGCACACTGGTGAATCGATTTCTCACAGGGCGGCACACTGTGCTGACCCATTTGAGTGGATTAGACTCACGTGCATCATACACGCACGCAAATTCGTGCATGCGGTGTACGGCTTCGAGAAATGTCAAGGCACCTTTGAATGAAGGGTCAAATGGAAACCTTTGTCCAAAAAAAGCAAAATGAGTAAAAAAATCTGATAGGGGAAAAAAACCCATCTTTTGCTCTGACAAAGAATTTTAGAACTTGAAAAATCATATGGCTTTTGGAGTAGCCTTAATTGTCTTCCTGGCATATCTATTGGTCCAACTGCTTCAGCCCTCACTCTTTTCTAGACTCTTGAAACGCTACCGCTTAAATATCTCAAAAGTGTTTTTTTTTTTAAACTCATATCTTTACTTTGACTTTATTTTAATCACCTTATAGAAACCCACCCTGATATTGTCCACAGGTTGATGTTGCCCAGTCTGCAAGTTGTAGCTAAGTGAGCTGGGGAAGGGAAAAAAAAAACAGTTTGTCACTAAAAATTCTCTATCTACATTTTCCAAATGAGCACTCAGTAATGACATGAATCCCACCCCATTTTTATCATAAACTTCTTCTTATATATTTCATATTTCCCAAACTATCTAAATGCTAACCTCTCTTGCTCTTGCCACTCAGGGGATGTTTATATTAGATCCTCATAAATGCCAGAGAAGAAGCAGAATCTACCATGTGTGATTCCTGTCAGTTTCTTACAACCAAGCTTGTACACTGATTGCATTTTTCTGCCTGATTGGGTGGATTTTAGGGTTTAAATGAATTAATACATGATAAAACATTTAAAATGGTTTTCAGCATATAACAGGTATTTGCCATCATTATTTTCATTTTCATTTTTTACTTTTCTCTTTTTTTGTTGCTGCTTTTTACAGAGTTTTCCTTATCGTATCAAAAATAAAATCTTCGAAAGTCCTCTGGTACCAACTCTTGTGCCTTTTCCGAAATGTTACTTACAAGTTTGCTGTCTCCACTGTCGTGGTTCATGGTTGCGAACCAACTAGAGAAGGACATGTGTAGATGGTAATTGTAAAGGTTCTAGAACATTCTAGTGTTGTCAGGTGGACTTTTATTGTACAGAATCAGGATATTTGGGGAGGGGTGGCAGGCGTGAATTGAGAGGCGCAAAGCCAGCTTGAACAATTCTCCCAAGTCAGAGACTTTTACAGTAAATAGAAACGAATACTAGAGAGTGAGAGGGGAGGGGTGAGACCCCCAGAGTGGGATCTGCTGGAGATGCGAGGGATGTGGAGATCAAGAGGCTGCTCTCCCAGGTGGATGAGTTGACCAGGAACCAAGAAGGGAAAATGGAAAAGTCATTCATGAGCAGTTTTTCCCTTGATATTGAAAGTAATTCTCTTTCAGCATTTCTATGGTGACTTTTGTTAAGATTGTAATGTTTAAATGTGGTTGTTAGAGTGGTAGTTATTTGGCTTTTGTGTGTTTTATTTTTTTGAAGGAAACAATGATATTAGATGCACAGGCAATTTAACTTTATTGATTCACATTGGGTTCTTTGCCTATTAAGTTCAGGAATATATCAGAAAATATGTTTGGTGTTTTTCCTCAGTTATATAGCAACTCTTTCATTCTTCAGATTTGGGTCTTTTTCAGCTTAGAAATGTGGATGTGTTTTATAGTATCATTACTTCCAGTGAGAAATAACAGTTTTCCATATTGTCTATTTCTTCCCAGTTTGTCTTTCGTTTTAGTAGTCCAGAACCTACCTTGTAGAGTCAAATCAGTCTCGGTGTAAGTTTCAACTATGTCACTTGTCAGCTGCATGATCTCGGGCAAGTTTAAAAACATAGAGAAAAAAAACGAATTGCCTAAATAAAATATTTTGCTCAGAAATAGACACATAGGAAATGTCCAACAAATTAATTATCTCTATACTATTTAGTCTCTGAATTCTAGATTATTGCTTCACTGTGGTTTCCCTTTCATCTTTCTGATTTTTGCACTGTTGCATCTACTCTGAGCCTTTGAAGATAATTTAAGGGATTGTTGCTATGTCAGTCTTTTATATAATTTGCATTTCTCCCTCCTCTCATTCAGCTTGTTTTGATTACTGCCTCCTTCTCAGTAGTCTCAGTTTTCATCTCTTTGTTTGATATGCGCCTTCTCCCTCTTGTTTAATGGATTCCAAGATTTTCTGGATCTTATGCCTAGCATAATTGAGGAAACGTACAGGTTTCCTGAATTAGATCCTCCCCGGAACATGACTGTGTTCTCTAATTTGAATGTGTTCTCTTCTTCCTTTTGGGTTCCAGATGTTTTCCCTTGAGCAAAATGCTCCCCAGAGCCCCCCATTTAGCGAAATGCAGCCCTGCCCTTGCCTCTAGAGTTCAACCATCCCATCCCTAAGCTTGTCTTCAGACTGGGGTTTGCTCAAGAAAATGAAATTGTTTTCAAATTATTTCACTGGACTCCTAGTTGTTAATAAAAAACCTTCACTGGGAGTGTGATGGGGGTCAGCAGGTCCATTTGCAGCTCCTTGCTTCTTGGTATTTCCAGAAGGAAGGGCGTTGAGACCTCATGCACATTTCAGACTTAGGTGCAGATGCTGTTCGCCTCAGGCTCCACTCCAAGAGTTTATTTGTCTTTGTGTTTTTGTGTTGTGTTTTTCCACATAAAATAAACCTTTGGTCAGCACACTGGGATTTCTGTAAGGTGGTGGTTCCCAGCCATGCTGCACATTGAGCTCCCAGGAGCTTTCAGAAATACTGGCTCCCCGGCATGGCCTGCAGATGGGTTCAGCCTCTGGTCTCCACAGTAGCATGGGTGTGGGCATTTAGGTGTCTTTTTCAGTGTGAAGTCAGCATTGGGAAACCCTGAGAAAGAGTGGCATCTGACGAGTGATCAAGTTTCAATTTTACCCAGAAATTCTTATACCAGCCTCCACCTAGCAATGGTACCTTGAAAATGTAGGATGAACCGAGTTCTCAGTCTATAGCAAAATGCTAAAATAGGGAACATATGTAGAGAAAATGAGCAGAGGAAAACTACAAACACTGAAAATAAGTGAAATGATGATTGGGAAGAACTACTACATGATGCTCACACTTACAAAATGCAAAAGGCAAAGAGGAAAAAAATGAATATTAACTAAGGGAACTGGGAGCATAGACTAGCGAGACAGAATATGTACCACTAATGAATTTGGCTACCGGAGGATCCAGTGAGGGAAATCCCAGTAGCATGGAGAGTCCAAGGGTTAACAGCCCCACTCAAGAGCAAATGGGCCCCTGTGGGCCACGACCTCTGGGCTCAGTGCCCTGCGGAGGTTAGGGTTCAGAGCAGGGAGTTCTCGGAAGTTCATTACCTCAGCTGCAGCCCCCAGGTAGGAAGGCCTGCAGTTTACCACCCAAGTGCATCTTCAGGCTTCCTGCAAAGGGCTCCAATTAACTGCATGGCCTTGGCTGATTCTCCCTCCAGCCCCATTAACATGCAGAGCTGTCGACCAGAGAGACGGCCTTGGGCTTCCCCTGGCAACCCAGGGCTGCCCACAAAGGGACTTGACAATTGGATGTGAGATTCTATCAAGCATTTGTGTGTACACGATATTTTCTTCTTTCTTTTCCTTAAGGTGTTTAAACATGGAAACTGCTCATCATAATTTGTAGTGCTAGGGATGTAAGCGTTACAAAGATGGTATTTTCTTAATTTGTATATTGCATTACACTGAGCTAAAGACTAGGGAGTTATCTTCCTTTCTCAAATAGAATAATAGATGGTAATAATAGTTATTATTCCCTATGGTTTAGCAGAAGAACCAACCATAATCTTTCAGATAGCCCAAATAAATATAAATATGTAGAGAAAAAGATACTTTAATTTATAATACAGCCTTTGTGGTGAAAACTGCCTCAGTCTTCATATACATTAGTTTCTCATCTGCCAGAAGTGAATGCATTACATCCTGGAAATATGTCTCTCATTTTTCTCTCTCTTCTGCAGCTAGTGGTAATAATTAGTGATTCTCAACTATATGGGTCATAAGGTATGCCTGAATTACTTAAAAATGCAGATTCCTGGGCTCCACAGACAAGATCCTGCGCATTTGGCCAGGGACTGGAAACCTGCCTATTACCAGTGTTCTAGCTGGTGCCCTGCAGAGGGTCCATGGACCACTCCCTGGAAAATGCTGGGGGGGAGAGGGATGGCCCGCTGAGAGGCATCCATGTTCCCTGATGGGCCCAGTTTATTCCCGCTTTGTCTGTTCCTGCCCCTTGTTCCCGCTGTAGGAGCTCTGCCAGCAAAAGTAGGACAGTGAAGGCCCAGAGGTCCCCTCAGTAGAGCCATGGCTCTTAGGGATGGCTATTCAGAAAGGTGTCACTGTTTCCGGCTAGTGCTGAAAGCAGTCCTTTTGTGGTTGTTGCTGTTTTTTTCCTATTGTGCTAAAATGCTCATAAAAAGCAATCTGCTTTCGTACCACCGAAATATAGTCCAGACACTCTCACTAACATTGTATTATGTAAAATATTAAATTTTAATGCA